ACTGGAAACTGGTTGTAACCCATCAAGAGACTCATAACTTATTAAGAAGAAATTATTGATACAATCCTTTGTAGAAATGGAAAGTTGGTGGCAGTATGCTGGAAGTGGTCCAAGGCCTTGGTCCTGCTTATGGGATTTAATCAGGGTACAACATGACTGGTCTAGGTCATTTGCTATCATAAGCTGAAGAAATTCACTGGGAACACTGTGCTAGAGATGAGAGGAAAAGGCTCTGAGTTATGGTTAGAGCATTCCTTTGACAAGTATGCAGAGGGAAAGCCTCAGAGGCTGAGAAATGCCATCAGCTAAGGCAATAGCATTAAGGTGTGTGTTTGTGTGTACTCTAGGCATGAATTGGTTTACTTCTTACAGAATATGGCAAAGTGGAGAGTAAGGGGAAAGCATAGGTTTCATCCGCGCTTGTGCATGAACAAGCCAAGTAGAAACATGAATTATAGACTAGAGTAATAGACATTTTACAACCCCAAGCAAAGGCCCCCGACCCAGAATCTCTTGCTAATTTTGTGTTAATCAGAGCTGACATAGCAAAAGAGAAGACCATAGCAGCATTTTAAGAGTAAGATAGGATAGTGACACACTGACCTCAAACACTGAGGTAGACTTGGAAAGTCAGAAGCAACATAGGCATACTTCTACCTCTTGAAGTCCAACTCTCTCAAGGCAAGGCCCCAGGGGGTGAAGATAAGCAGTTTCCCCAAACCCAGTGAGGCCTGGCCTAGGTGTGAATTGGACAAGGTGGTTCTAGTTTGCAGCTGATATATTGTAGGGTTGATATCAAGCAAAATCATGGGGTATCCATTATTCTGTATGTCACAGACTCCAACAGTTATGAAGATAACCCTCATTTGCTTGGTTTTGATAAAGGGGATAATTAATGCCTGCTGTAACCACAAAAAAATTAACCCAGTGAACTCATCATTTTTCGTGTGTTCTTGGAGATCCTAAGAGGAAGATGGGGAGTTGGCATGGGGAAGAATAAAGTCTAACATTGACATGCTTGTTCCCACGTTTGCTTAGAAAAAGTTTAATGGACACTGTCAGGCCAAGCTTTGCAGCACTTCCAGGGATTCTTGCCACAGAAGGAAGAGAAAAAGAATGAAGAATGAACTCTGGGTATGGTTTTTTGATGTCCCTGGATGGCCCAAACAGATGTTGTGTCCCTCTTGTGAAGAGCTGCAAAAGAGAGAATATATAATAAGGTAGATAATTTTATTCATCAGAGTTCAGAGACTGTTTTCAACTTAAATTGAAATGCTACCTGGGATTCCAGGTAGGAGACCAGGCTGAATTTCTCAGAGGTGCAGGAGGCTGAGAGTCACTGGCTAGGAACAGGGTTATGTGAATGGCATGGGCTGTAGGTGAAGGAACTTATCAGGGGTTTAGTCTAGTGATATGGAAACCTCATGGTTGAGAAGAAGGAAAAATATAAGCAGCTACTGTAAGTGGAAAAAATATTTGGAAAGAGAGAAATATCTAGGGAAGATTTTAGGCGTTTCCTGTTAAATATGCTGTGCAGATCATTTGCAGGGACTGCTTAAGAAAGCTTATGTATTATTCTTAAGTGCTTCAGCTGTCAGTTGATGTTTTCTTAGATTGCTGTTACATGCTTGTACTGAACCATGTGAAGCTTCAGTTTTATTTAGGTTACACTCTGAAATACAATCGCCCACTGCTCAAAAAAGCTTTCCTTGACTTGGCTGCCTCCTTAAATTACTATCATTTCTGATTACTCCATTTCAATGGCAAACCTCAACAAACTATATCATCACTTTTTCAACTCTCAAGTTAACAAAACAAAATGCAATAATTATAATAAAGATTATAAATATAGCATTTTTATAAAATATATAGCATTTTTTGTCAGACACCATGTCTTGATGATTTACCTACATTAGCTAGTTTACATTTTACAACAATTCTATGAAGAAGATACTATTATCGCCCCTATTTTATTTTTTAATTAATTAATTAATTTATTTACGGCTGCGTTGGGTCTTCATTGCTGCATGTGGGTTTTCTCTAGTTGCGGTGAGCGGGGGCTACTCTTTGTTGTGGTGTGTGGGCTTCTCATTGCGGTGGCTTCTCTTGTTGAGGAGCACGGGCTCTAGGCACATGGACTTCAGTAATTCTGGCGTGTGAGCCCAGTAGTTGTGGCTCGCGGGCTCTAGAGTGCAGGCTCAGTAGTTGTGGTGCTTGGGCTTCGTTGCCCCAAGGCATGTGGGATCTTCCCAGACCACGGATCAAACCCGTGTTCCCGCATTGGCAGGAGGATTCTTAACCACTGCACCACCAGGGAAGTCCCTATCACCCCTATTTTAGACATGGGGATACCAAGGCACAAAACTGAAGTAACGTGTCTGAGCTTATATAACTAGGAAGTGGTACAGCTGAGATTCAAACCCAGGTACTGTGGCTTTAGTGTCTATGCCCTTAACCACCATATAAGTGTATCCTTGTTCACTGCTGGTGGCATCATGTATTTGTTCAACCTCAAAAAATTAAACATAGAGTTACCATTTAACCCAGCTAATTCTACTCCTATGTATATAACCAAGATAATTGAAAACATAGGTACAAAAAGTTGTACATGAATGTACATAGCAGCACTATTCATAATAGCAAAAAAGTAGGAACAATCCAAATGTTCATCAGTTTTGAATGGATAAACAAAATGTGGTATATCTATACAATGAAATATTACTCAGTCATTAAAAGGAATGAAGTACTGACACATGTTACAACTTGGATGAACCCTGAAAACCTTATGCTACGTGAAAGAAGCCATATACAAAAGGCCATATGTTGTATGATTCTATTTATATAAAATGTCTAGAATACGCAAATCTATCGAGACAGAAAGCAGACTAACAGTTGCCAGGGGCTGGTGGGGGAAGGGGGACAATGGGGAGTGGCTGCTAAAGGGTATGGGGTTTCTTTTTGGGGTGATGAAAATGTTATGGAATTAGGTAGGGGTGATAGTTGAACAACATTTTGAATATACTAAAAGCCACTAAACTGTACTCTTTTAAACGGAAAATTTTATGATATGTGAATTATATCTCAATATAAAATTTTCTAGGTAGGGAGAAAACAAGATTTGAGTCCACTGCTGCCATTATATTACAGTGCCATATGGTGTCACTTGAGGAATGGACAAAGTCCAGAGAAGGCTGTCCAAAGCTCAGTGATGCTCTGCTGGTTCAGATTGCGCCCAGGCTACAGTATGCCCCATGAATGAAGTCTAAAGTTAAAATTCAGACTGTGTTCCAGAGTATGCGCAACACAATTCCAGAATAGCTTAATACTGAAGACTTCTATCATTATCCCCACACATGCTCTTCTTCATAGACTGAAGTTCTTGGCTAAACCTGTTTCCCATTTTAATGAAGAAATTCACACTCCTTTCAAAAGCATCCCTTTAAAAGGGAATACCTCTAAGCACATCTTGAACTTCCAAAAACTTTAAAAAAATTTATTACTCTATAAACTTTTATTTATTATTCTAAATATTCTTTTTTAAATTCTGGGGCTTCCCTGGTGGTCCAGTGGCTAAGAATCCATGCTCGCAATGCAGGGGGCCCAAGTTCCATCCCTGATCAGGGAACTAGATCCCACATGCCACAACGAAGATCATGCATGCTGTCACTAAGACCTGATGCAGCCAAATAAATAAACAAATAAATATTTTTAAAAAATAAAAAATAAATTAAAAAAATAAATTCTCATTGGAGTATAGTTGATCTACAGTTTTGTGCCAGCTTCAGGTACACAGCAAAGTGAGTCAGCTACACACATACACATATCCACTCTTCCTTAGATTCCCCTCCCATATAGCCCACCAAAGAGCACTGAATAGAGTTCCTTGTGCCACCCAGTAGGTCCTCATCAGTTATCCATTCCATAGTAATGTGTACACGTCAATCCCAATCCCCCAATTAAAAACTTTGTTTTCTTAAAAAACTACTTTATGGATATACAGGGAAATATTGAGTAATTTTACTGTCGTGAGGTAGGGGACTTTAAATGAGTTGAGAACTTTATGGATTTTACATCAATTCTTTCTATAATATGTATACTATTTAATCCAGTATTTCCAATCAAAATATTAAAAAGCTATACATATATGAGGCGATCATCATGATGTTATTTTTTTTAGGGTCTGGGAAGCCATCTAATTCTTTTTTAAAAATTTTTTATTTTATATTGGAGCATAGTTGATTAACAATGATGCTACTGACAGTAGCAAAAAAAAATCAGAAATATCCAATGATGGAAATTGTATACATACTTGCTGAAAATCTTACATATGTTAAATGGTATATATGAATTCCATTTAACAACATGAAAATCCTTATGCTATAATGCAAAATGATTTTTAAAAGTACCTATTTGTATGTGTGTATAAAGCATATATACATACATTCACAAATTCATACAATTAGAAATAATGCACACACCAGTTAGTTATATGTCATTTGATATTGAAATAATTTTCCTTTAATCTTCTCACCCCACAGTCTACAAAATGTGTTCAATATCTATACCAAGATTTCTCTCAATTCCCAGAGTAGATATTCTCATAGTCACTTTTTTCACTTATATTTTAAAATACATACAAGAGTATTTATAATGTATGTGTATAAAGTGTATCCATTGGGTTTCCATCAGGAATCAGAATTCTACTCAGTTGGTCTGACTAAAGAGATCTTAGATGCTAATTAAAGGAGTGGGGTTAGGGTTAAGAGAACCATCTAGCTCCCAACCACCAAGTTGGGGTGAAGAACCATCAGGTTGAGAGTATAACAGCAGCGGGAAACCCATAGCATCTCTAGGCTGAAGAGCAAGGGAGGAGAGCATTTCCAGAGCTCTGTGAGCTGGAGCCACAGAGGAGGGGCCACGGGTCAAGAGCTGAAGTTGTGGAGAGACACAACCACTGCCAGATCCTCAAACAGAGAAAGAATGGATAAAATATACCCTACCTCTCTTTTCTCCTGCCTCCTGTCTCCTGTGGATGCCTCCAAAGTCCCAACCCAAATGGAAGCCAGCTGAGAAGAGCCCAGGTGCTGTTTTCCAAAGAGGTCAGCTGCTGGGGTATAGAATAGGGCAAGGAAGGGGGGAGAATGGATATGAGGGGAGGCAAATAGAAGACCGGGATAGTCTACCTGTTTTGCCACCCAGTATTTATTCTTTCCCTTTGCTCAGATGGAGAGAAACGCATCCCCTAAACATGAGAATCACAGAGTCCTACCAAGTACTATATTGCTTTGAGGTGACGGCAATACTCTGACCTAGAAACTAAATTATAATGTTTGTCTCCATCAGTATTCTTCATTCAAGGAAAGAGGGAAAGGAAGGGCAGGGAAGAAATAATCAATTAACGTTTTATATACAGAGCTACAGTAGTCCCTGCCTCTATAGATTGTTGCTAGGCTAAAATTGATAATCATAATTTCCTACTTCATTCACTTTTGTTTCCCTTGCTCTATACAGTATCTTAGTAGATTAGGATTTTTTACCTGGTATGGTGATACAACACTTTAATTCCTGTATGGTCTGAAATTTAAGTGCTCCTGACTTTATCAGGTTACTGTAGTTATCTAATGATCATTATTATTGCACATGGGAGTATTAACATATGCTCAGTGAATCTTTGGGAGTCATGCACATTTCCCCTTGCCCTCATTGTATAGCTGCAACCCAATTTCCTCTTGGTAATTAGGATCAGTTATTCCAATTCCATCATGATGAGGAACCAAACTGATCAGGGGGCAGTTTCAGCTTCCAATTCAATGGAGCTATGGCTGGGTCCTCTAGTGGAAACATTTCTTCCTTTTGAACTAGTACTTCAAAGCATGATAAACCCAAGGTTGTAGAAATGGTGTGCTGGATATTTTCATTTGTCCGGAACCTCTACAGACTGTATGGACCTGGCTCCCCTATCTTCTGGCTTTCTTGTGGATCCAGCCAATGGAAGATTTCAGCAGGATTTCCGAGCATGGAAGGACAGAAGGATGTATCTTTCTTTTCCACCCTATCCCCACTTGGAGCTGAGGTGCTAGCAGTGGCTACAACTATAGGATCTTACCCTCCTGGGCCAAAGGTCAGCATCGACTGCTTTCCTCTCCTGAACAACATAGCTCCTGTTGGTAGCCCTCTTATACAGCCACAGCTATGGCTCTCACCTGGTTTTAGTAACTGCTCCCTTACCTTTGTCCCTTCAGACCTAGAGTTAGTAACAGGATCCCACTGTTGCTGGTTACTACTGTTTATTTAATGCTAACTGTGTGCCAGACATGGTGCTAAGTGCCTGAATATATTATCTCATTTAGTCTTCACAATCCAGTAAATTAGATGGCTTTAGTCCTATTGTAGAGATGATAAAAGTAAGTTTTGGAGAGGATGAAGAGTGACAGTGATGGAGCTGGAAATCAAATCAAATATAGGTGTGCTTATGCTAGAGTCCAAGCACTCAAATGCTATCATACCAATTGTTATCCCCTCTTAAAGAGTCAAAGTTCCATGTGGCTTTGCTTCTATGGTGCCCCAGTCACTCTGGCAACAGGTCGGTGTGGTGTTCGCTCACATACAGAGCCTGGGGAAGGTTAGATCCCTTCTCCACAGGTGTGATGGTCAGCCAGGGCTAAGGGCAGTGACCTTCCTCATTGACCTTCCTCAAGGCCAGAGCCTGGTGAAGTCCATGGTATTCTTCCAAGCCATTTAATAACAAAGAACAGAATGCCAACAGTTCCTCAAGTATTCTCTCAATGAAGCTGGGTGAGAGGCTTGACTTACTCAAGATAGAAATTACTAGTGGGGTGAGAAGAAATGAATCTCTCAGAACAGAAGGGGAGAATGATAGCTCTGTCAAAAAAAAAAAAGAAATTTGATTTGGTAACTCTGGTCAAGTCTGCTCTTTTTCGTTTCCTGTCTTAATCTTTTTGCCACTTTAATGGTGGCAGCTCAACAGATGGAGTAGGCTGAGGCTCTAACAAATTAAATAAACTATGTCTGTGCTGAGATTCAAATGGGGAAAAAAGTCCACGCTCAACATAAACCTATTCTATAAGAAGAAAAGCCCTTACATATGTTTATAACTGTGGATTATGCTTAAGTGACAACCGCTCACGAGACACATTCTCTTCTAGAAACAGAGCCTACAAGTGGTGGTTGACATCGTATGTGAACAACTGTGAGACGGCTCATTAAGCTCTATGGAGGTTTTAGCTCTGCGAGGGAGCATGGATTGCTCAGGCTCCTCGTGGGTAACTGACAAACCTCACTGAGGACTTTAAGTGAGATTTCCATTATGCTTCTTCTGCCTCCCCTCAAAATTTGAGTCGCTGGATTTTGAATTTGCCTTTTTAACCTGCCCCTTCCAGGCGCCAGGCGGGAAAGAAAACACCAGGCCTCCTCGGTCAGGCAAGCGGGCCCTTTAAGGAAGACGAGACCTGCGCTGATAGGCTGAGGCTCGGAATCCCTGCCATGGCTAGCCAATCCCAAAGCTCTGCGGGGCGAGACCCGGTCCGTGCGGCGGACTGGGACTCCGGCCTGGAGGCCTCTGCTTTGATCAGTGTCCCCGCACTTCCACTGCCCACTGCCCAGTGAGTGAGCGCCGGCCGTGCGTGCCAGGCCGGCCGCAGGCTGCTGGGGAGGGCGGGTCCGCGGGGCTGCGTCTGCGTCTGCCGGCGCCGAGCTCAGGGCCTTGGGCTTGCCGGGCCGCGCTGGGTGCCCTCTCCTTGTGAGTGCCCTTGGCTTTCCCGCTCCTAGTATTGCCAACTTCGTTTCGGAGGAACCGCTTCTAGTGCTAAAGACTCCAGACCTCTCCCATACCATTGTAATTAAGTTGGGGGAAGTAGGCAGAGCGTTATCAACGGAAATCAGCATACCACTGCAGGAATTCCCAAGTTACTGTGATTGGGTCCAGGATGAGCGGGTGGAGTTATAAATTACAGAAAACCTACCTGAAGCTGTGAGTTCTCGGCTGGAATTTGCAGGGGAAATGGGCTAGTTGGAATGGAACCCAAAGACTTATTGAAAATGATTGTAATTATGCAACCAGTCAGAAATGTAGGTAGTTAATGTGTCATTCGATCAGGAAATGAGTCAGCGCAGCAACTTGGATGACAGAGGTTATGGGTCATGGAATTATCCTTTTCTTTTCTTTTTAAAGTAAAATCAAATCCTGGCTCCTAGATGCAACCTGAGAAGGGCTGCCTGGAACTTGCGGTCCCAACACTTCTTCCTCAGAAATACCCATGCCTGTTGTAATCTGTAGCACAGTTGAGGCAGGGTTGGAGCATTAAAGAGTCCTTTCTAAGGTCTCAGGAGTAACTGAAGGAAAAACGAAGGCAGAAAGGACCCAAATCAGCATTCTTAGCCCTCTGACACACGCTGGGATCAAAGTTTTAAGTAGCAAGGCGTTTGTCACCAATGACAAAGTGTTAGCATTTTTGAAAGACTCACCTTATACAATTTGGTGAATTCAAAGTTACTCCTATTGCAAGGTCACTCCTGTTTATTTTCTGATATATATTTTGTGAGTGGGAGAGTGAAAGCTGAGAGTATTGTGGATACCCTAAGGAACCTCCCAGACTTTGGAAAATGGCTTTCTTAGGGTGGGAAAAGAAGGAGAAGAAGGTTGAAAATACCGAATTCCAGGGCACAGTTCACAAGGTGTGGTGCACTCATTTTCAGGTGTGGTCTCCTTTGGGAACCAAGGGAAAGCTCTTCTTCCTGCTTGGCTTCTACCTTTAACCCGTGGGAATATCCCCTGATACATCGAAACTACAATCCAGACCCAAGAGAGCAAGGACAAGAAAAAGGTAAGCCTAAGTCCTAACTTTCCACATGGTTTCTCTTCCCTGGATCACTGACACGAGGATTGTCACTCCGCTTCAGGGGAGAGTCCACCCCCTTATAAATAGGAGCACTCTAAGGGACATAACTCTGACATACAGGGTGTGTGTGTGTGTGTGTGTGTGTGTGTGTGTGTGTAAATGGGATTAGAGGACAGCTGTTTTCTTTATAAATGTTTGCTGCATATGTAAAAATTCAATGATCTACTCCTACACGCAAAAGAAAAATAAGGAATGGCAACTGCCTGAGCTACACTTTCTCTTGTGTCACTCATGCTTTCTGCACATTTGTGGGAAAGAGACACCTTGGTGACTGCCAAAATGGATAATATATTGCTTCTGCCTTCAGGCAAGTTCTGCTCTGCCGTTGGAGACAATGGACTTGGGGCTGTCAAATCTGGAGACAGCAGAGAACTTCTGCTAGATCTGCCCACCCTTACTGGGTGACTCTGCCTCTGGTCACTCACAGGATGGAGGAGGGCAGCGGCTGAGGGGTGGGGTGGGTAGGGAAATCTCATGACCTCCCAGGCCTGTTCAGGACTCTGCCTCTCCTCCTCTGGCTCAGCCTCCTGTGCCTAGCACTGAAGCTGACTCTGGCTCAGAGACCCCTATAAATCCAGGGTGCATCTCTGGCCAAAATACAGGGAAGCCAGTGAAGTCTGGCTTGTAGTATACACTCACTTGGAGCCCCATTAGCAGGGATAACCCATTGCGTCCGGCATGAAATATCCTCCCTCTCCCATCATCTTCTCACCAGTTAGCTAGATCCCAAGATTTTCTGCTGAGGCTATGGAAAATAGGAACTCTGTCTGAGCTTCCCACAGAATATTGTGAATTCTGGGCAGAAAGCATTAGGAATGGCCACTCTGACCTGATGTTCACAAAGTGCTCAACAGCCTACCAAAGAGAATCAGCAACATCGCTGAAGTGGGTAGAGTAGTCATAACTTCCCTGAGTTCTGCAGTCTTCTGAAGGTAGAATCAACAACTAACTGAGGTCTTCTGTACCTACCCAATTGACTTAAGAACAAAAATTGGAGTTCTGGACCATCTAGAATTGCCAGCCCACTTAAGAACTTCTTAAGTAAGATAAATAAGATAGATGATAACCATGTATTCATTTAAAATTTGTGTTTCCCAGAACATTTAAGTATCCTTAGGTTTTCCCCCTTTTGAGAACTTCAGTAGTAGCTTAAGAAGAAAAAAGTGAGGCTAGAGGAGGATGGCCAAGGGATGTTAGCAGTGGGTGGATGGAAAGAGCAAGTGGGTAGGAGAGGGGTAGGGATTATAGGAAGAGTATTGATATAGTAACCTTGAGATACCTAAAACGTCCTAAAATACAAATGCAAGGAGCACAGAGAAATCGGTGTTCAAGTTGTACAGTGCATCTTCTAAATCACTCCTCCTCAAAAGCAAAGGTTCTGTCATCCAGCTGTACAGAAGGTAAGAGGGTGGATGGTATTCACCCTGCCCCTCCTAAAAATGAGAGCGTTTTTTTTTTGTTTGTTTGTTTTTAAGTGCTCAGTTCTTCAAGATATACAGTGGGAAGAAAAATCAGGAAACATGAAGCTATAGAGCAGGAAAAGATTTTGGAAATCATCCAGTTCAATCAGCTGTTCTTATGTAAGTAAATGATGGCCAGACTGGTTAAGTTTGTCCAAGATCAGACAGCTAGTTAGGAGCAAAGACTAGTGTCCATACTGTGTTCCCAGGTCAGAAAATTTTCTTTTTTTACTTTGTCTTAAGCTCATGGTAGCCTGAAAACAGAGCATATGAGGATGCATGTAGAATATATTGTTTTAAACTTTGCTTTTTTACATTTTAGGTCAAGATGGGGTTTATATTTTCAAAATCTATGAATGAGAACATGAAAAGCCAGCAGGAGTTCATGCTTATGAATGCCCGACTTCAGGTATATTTTAATTTTTTTAATTAAAAAAAAAATTTTATTTATTTTTGGCAGCATTGGGCCTTCGTTGCTGCACGTGGGCTTTCTCTAGTTGCAGAGAGCGGGGGCTAGTCTTCACTGCAGAGCATGGGCTCTAGGAACATGGGCTTCAGTAGCTGTGGCATGTGGGCTCAGTAGTTGTGGTTCACGGGCTCTAGAGTGCAGGCTCAGTAGCTGTGGCACGTGGGTTTAGTTGCTCCGTGGCATGTGGGATATTCCCAGACCAGGGCTTGTACCTGAGTTCCCTGCATTGGCAGGGGGTTTCTTAACCACCGAGGGAAGTCCTTCAGATACATTTTTAGATAATTAAGCTTTTATGTTGTTACGGTGGTTAAAGTTTCTGTCACATGTGCTCCAGCACTATGTTCTCCTTAACCTCCCAAAAGGTAAAATGCCCTCGGTGCTCTACCCTCAAAGCCAAGATGAAGTAGACTACTAATTATCTGGTGAATGGGCTTGTTTAAATCTCTAATCTAGATATCTAATGTAAAAATTTCCATACTGCAGGAAGAGATAACTGCTTAGAGTGTATGGTAGAATAATGCCCCTCCCCACCCTGCCAAAAAGACATCTGCATCCTAATCCCTGTGAATATGTTACCTTACATGGCAAAAGGGATTTTACAATGTGATTAAGCTGAGGAGTTTGAATTGGGGGAGACCCTGGATTATCCTGGTTTATCTGGATGGGCCCAGTGTAATCATAAGGGTCCTTATAAGGGAAAGAGGGAGGCAAGAGGGTCAGAGTCAGAGAGAGAGAGAGATTTGAAGATGCTATGCTGATTGATGACTTTGAAGATGGAATAAAAGGGCCATGAGCCAAAAGATTCAGGCAACCTCTAGAAACTGGAAAAGGGAAGGATACAGATTCTCCCCTAGAGCCTCCAGAGGGAATGCAGTCCCTCCAGTCCATTCTGGACTTCTGTCCTTCAGAACTGTAAGGTAATCAATTTGTGTTGTTTTAAGCCACTAAGTTTGATAACTTGCTATAGCAGCAATAGGAAATTTTAATACAGTGTGAACATTCGACATTGGATTTATACAATGGCTGGATAAAAAGATCAAAGCAAAGTAGAAGATTGTCTAAATGCCTAATATAGGTTATCAAAAGGTATTTTAAAATGTTGTACATCAATCAAGTATTAAAAGTTTGACTGAAATTATTTTCCTAAGACGTCTAACGAAGATCTCTAGGCCTCTGTGGTTCATTATGGCCCTGGGAATAGACGGTCCTATTGTGAGACATATAGTGAGTGGTTAAAAGTGAGGACCAAAGCCAGGCAGCCTGGGTTTGAATCCTAGTTCCACCTCCTGACTAACTGTGTGGCTTCTGCTTCAGTATCCTAACCTATAAACTGGAGGTTATAGTATCCCCCTCAGAGGGTTGCTATGAGGAGTAAAGATGACAGTATATAGAGAATGTGTAGAACAACGCGTCAGGTCTTTCGAACAATGTCTCTCACTCTATAAGCATTAGTTGTTGCTGTTATTATTGCTTCTAAAGAGTGATAAGACTGTCTTGTGCAGGATAAAGATCTCTTTGGGGGGAATGGAACTGTTGAAAGAATAGGCAATTGAATTGTTTAACAGAAGAAAGTGACCTAGAGGAGACCAAACATTAGGTTTATGAACCAGCAAAGTATGTCACATACTCAGAGAGTCCTTGTCCAAGACCCCTGGAAACTACAGGGCTTTTACTTTTATGTCAGAAGTCAGGGTCTGTGAAGGGTTTGGAATTTTACCCTACTTGCAAGCTAAGAGATTAGCTTATTACTATCCCATGGATGCTGGCAGAACACAGGAGACACCTACAGCAGACGGAGGAGTTTATTACTCACAGCACAGCAAGAGCATAAGCATGAGGTTCGTGTCAATTCCCCATGCCTCTCAAGTCTCACAGAGGTGACAAAGATGGGTTCACATGGGTGCTGTACACTCAGTGGGTTGTGGCACCCTTGAACTTTGGGAATCTGCTGCTTTTCTAGTTAATGAGGAGCTGGTGGAGTTGAGGTGGGGAGAACTTTAACCCCTTCCTGAAGGTTGTTCCCTGCAAACATAACCTCAAGAAATGGCCTGAATAAGCAGCAGTGTGGGCCTTGCATTCTTGGCTTACCCAGAATGTGGGGGTACCTTCAGGGACCGTGGCAGACTGCCCCCTCAGTGCAGTTGACCAGAGCTTTGAGAACAGCCTTGACTTCTGCCCACTGATCCAAGCGACCATTATAGCTGGTGCTGAGGGTCAAACTGGCCGGAACACTATCAGCACCATTAGTTTTCAGCTTAGCTGAACCAAAGGTGAACCAGGCCCAGGCATTTAGGACAGTCTCTGTGAACCCAAGGGCCTTTTGAGCCAGTAGCTTTGCTTCAGGTGGCAGAGTCAGGGATAAAGTTTTCACCAAAGGGTAGCTACTACTCCTTTATGCAAAACTGAGATGACATCAGGGCCAGGCTAGGCACATCCTCAAATACATTATTTTCATTTGACCAGCAAATGGGTGCTTTCCTTGTAGTTGTCATCTCCACCCTTCAAAAATAGGGATGTCAGGCCTGAGTCATAAATTCTCCAGGGGTAAGGTGTTCATTTTTAACAGGAGCTCAGTAATAGGCCAATAACTGCCTCCCCATTTTGAAAGGGGTCTGTTATGGGTTTGTGTCCCATCCCCCCGCTCCAAATTCATATTGTTAAAGTCCAAACCCCCACTACCTCAGAATGTGACCTTATTTGGAGATAGAGTCTCTACAGAGGTAATCAAGTTAAAATGAGGTCATTAGGATGGGCTCTAATCCAATACGACTTGTGTCCTTATAAAATTTGGACACAGAGACGTGCATACAGGGAGAAGGCCATGTGAATATGAAGACACCATCTACAAACCAGGAAGAGAGTCCTGAAACAGAGCCTTCCTTCACAGCCCTCACAAACAACCAACCCTGCTGACACCCTAACTTTGGACTTCCAGCCTCCAAAACTGAGACAATATATTTCTGTTGCTTAAGCCACCCAGTTTGTGGTACTTTGTTATGGCAGCCCCAGAAAACTAATACAGGATGTATCTGGTGCCTGTGTCCAGCGTGTGGCGCTGCTGTACTGGGCAATGGCCTCTGGAGATGGCTGTGATTTTCTCTTTTTCGCCTGGGATTCTATATTGTTTCTATTGGACCACTTGGAAGGGGTCAGAGAACCCCTGAATGGGAGAATGTCCTCTCATCACTATGAATGTTTACAATAGAAGCAAGCAACACAGAATACATTATATATTTATATTCAGGGGACACAACTGCAGTACGTTGAATCAGCTGAATGTTCTTTAACTTCCCTTTCTCACTGCAAACTGCTCAAACCCTATCAGTTGAATTTTGCTCTGTGGGAACACAGATCAAAGATATTAACATAGGTACTTCAGGGGTTATCATGATAGTTTCAGGAGATTAGGCTGTTTCCCAGCTGGGGGAGATAGAGAATACAAATGTGTGTTTGCCCTTTGGTTTCTCATCCCAGAATTGGTATTACTTCCTCCACTGGGCTCCCCTGGCTTCTGGAGAGCACTGGGGCTCAGGGGCATCATTGTTTTAGCCAACACTGGTGCCACTGCTCTGCCCTGTATCCTCAGCACTTTGGGCCACCCTGGCACTTAGCACATCCTCCCTGCACTGGACCAAGTAGACATGGGTGCCCACATCCAACAAAGCTATAAACATTGAGTTCCTCCTCTCCCCTCCCTGAAATTCCCTGGCACACTCAGCCTTCTTCCCTAAAGCAGCTCAAGTTGGAGGAGTGGAGGAGGGAAAGAGCAGCTCGGTGCCAGTCAGCAAGGGTTTGAATTTACTCTGTTTCAAAGGCCTCCCGTCGCTGGACTCAACAAACAAATTTCTAACGTATTTAGCCTATGCAAAGTTCTATATCTTCATTGCTAACACCATTATTTCAGCTTTGGGTAACCCTTGACCCATCAGCCATAGCCACATTGCATGACTTTTGGCTGGGGTGTGGGGCTTGCTGTCCCATTGATGTCATGAAAACATCCTTTCCTTCTCCCACTCCAGAGGAGAATGTGCCACAACCAAAGCACCATCTGGGAGTCTTGTTTGGACCCTATTGTTTCTCAGCCTCATTTAACACATAAGATAGTGAGAGATCTTCACTCTACCCTCTTACTTTCACCACCACCTATGCAAGAGCATTTACTTCCAGATCTCAGGGAGCCTTCTGATATCCTCTAACCTGACCAACAAGGGCCCTCTTCCAGAACGCCATCTCTATCAGCATCTTATCCTTGTCACCCAAACTGGCAGGCCGCATGAAGGGTCTGGGATTTTACCCTACTTGCAAATTAACAAGTTAGCCTGTTACTGTTTCACAGATGCTGGCAGAAGATTTTGTTACTCACAGCACAACAGGGAGCATAAGCATGGTGTTGCTGCCAGTTTTCTATGCACTCCAAGTCCCGTGGAGGTGATGGAGGTGGGCCTAGTTGTATGCTTAGGTGGATGCCTGGGTTTGTGACATGGGTGAGGAACAGTGAGCTCATAGAATCTATCACCTTTGTCATGAATGGTAAGCAAGGCTGCTCTTTGACTGGGAAGAGATGTTACTTCATCCCTCAAAGTTGCTTACTGCAAACACAACCCTGACAAATGGCCTGGGCAAAGAGTAGTCAGGGCCTGCATCCTTGGCCTACTCAGCAAGAATGCTTAGGCCCCATGGCAGATTGATTCTTCCAACACATGTGTTGGTTAAGATGATTAGTTTTTCCTTGTTGAGCAGGATATATTTTATTAATTATCTTTTAATTTCAAGGAAGGATGACAAAAAGAATATAGATCAATACAGTTGAAGCAGCCTTCCAACCCTAAAGCTGCTTGAGTTCTCATCCTAACTGGGGCAGCCAAGGGAGAAACATACTCATCTGTAGCAGTTTTGGAAGATTGGGTTGGTCCTTGAATGTTCCTCATTTAAAGAAACTA